CACTAGGACACTCTCTAGCAAAGTGTCCAGGTTTCCCACACTTAAAACACTCCCCACCATTAGATCCACGTCCACCATCATAGCTCCGGTTACGATCGTGATCGCGATCACGTACACGATCGCGGTTACGATCACCATCATAATCTCTCCCTGACCCTTGATGAGGCTGAGCTCTATCAACAGTTATATTCCGCCCATCCAAATCCATTCCATTCATTGCTTCAATAGCTTCTTCCATTGATGTTTTATCATCAAAAGTGACAAATCCAAATCCACGAGAACGGCCAGAAAACTTGTCAACAACTACCTGAATCAAACGAAACTTTTCTCAGTCAAAATCTTGTTGATGGTTAATTAAAACATCATAAAATATAGTTACAAGTGCAGGACAAAACCTCAACAATTAATGCAATATGGCATTCAAAAGATATTTAAGTTCCATAACAGTTTATTAGTATAATGATTTTAACAAATAGTGCTATTTTGATTACTAGTATTGTTCCGTAAAACATATTATTGTCATTCACAGTACTTAAGTCTTTTGGGCATCACATTGCCTTCACTCTAAATTGGAGCATAAACTGACACCTGAAAGGATAGTTTTTAAATGGGAGACTGATCACACATTCAGAAAGGAAGGTGGCAGCAGTGCAGTCAAATCAAAGACACTTGAAAAGCTTATAAATCAGTGAAAACTATTACCTTGTGTGAAAAATACTATCTAATAAATATAACCATTTGAACAGGATCAAGTTCAATGATAAAAAATCAGCAAACTCAAGTACTTAAAAGTTAAAAAATAAATAACAGAAATGATGCCGTGAAACCATTAATTTCATGATTCATTACCTTTGCCTCAAGAAGATTTCCGAACTTTTCAAATGCATCTTTTAAACCCCTATCTGATGTTGACCATGAAAGGTTACCAATGAAACAGCGGTACTCTACCTCTTCTGGCATACTGTAAGCTGTATTTTTTCAGCAAGAAACATTAACACAAAAGTATCTAATAGTGTGCATGTCAATCAATTTGAGATATCTTCTTGGAAAAAAAAATGCCATCACAAGATCAGCCGAAAAATGGAGGAAACATGCTCAAATACAAGAAAAAAATTGTAAACTCCTACACTGAGCACAAAGAATCCAAATTAACAAGCAACCAAAAAATTAAGAAGCAACTTATTATTGTTAAAACTTCTATGACTACAAGAAATCAATTTTCTTGCATTCACAGTACCATTCATTTTGAAACCTCATAACCGGAAAGAAGAAAACACTCTCCACAATAATAAATGCAGCACCAAACATTCAAATGCAATCACTTAGAAGATAAAATCATTGAAGGTATCAAGTCTTTTGGTAAATAAAAAACTGAATGAATGACTAGAAAAAATTACTTCACTGCATTTAGTTAAACAAGTTCAAAAAAGACAACATTAGACTCTGCTTGGTTGTTTCTTTTTGCTTCCATAAATGTTGCTAAAAGGAAAACGAAAATTGTAAAATACCAAATCATATGCCATTGAAAATCAGAAAATAATTACAATACAACAAGTATTCAATTATGAATGCTCAATAATAAAGTAAAAATGATGCCTTTTGATGTTTTAGAAGTTTTGGTTTCCAATTTCAACTATTCAAGAGCATAGTATTTTGTTTTCTATATACAAAAGCACTTGTTGTGTTTTGCTTCCCAAAGCAAAACCAGCAACCAAACAGAGGCTTAGCCTACAACTGCCACAGCAATCATCAAAATTAGCATAGCCCAATACACATCTCCTTTAATTTTTTTAAGAAAACAAATTCCCTTTCTTAATCATCAATATTGTCATCCTAAAAGTACTAGCAAACATGTCTTAAAGTAATGCACTTGTGCACCATCTCAAGCAACTCTCAGTTAGCAAACTGCCGACATACAACTTCAAAATTGGCCTCACCGTCACTCCGGCTTTTCGACAAATCCCTAAAAATAATCCACAACCACTACAGATAAACAGCTTATACACAATCAGATATCATTCCAGAAAATTCGTAAAATCAGGTAATTAAACACTCCTAGTCTACTAATCGATTAAAAATAACAGATTGCATTTAAAAACATTATAAAACAATTCGATTTTTCAGATCTGAAGCAAAAGCGAATCGATAGAAAACAACAATTAGAAGATTGCAGAAAAACCAGATTTAACGGAAAAAAAAATAAGAATCAGTTACGAATAGATAGAAATAAAGAATTCGCGTACCAGCGAAGCAGCGGCGAGTGAGAAGTAAAATTGAATAGATTTGTTAGGTTTGCTTTGTTTCGAAGGAAACCTAAAAGTGCAAAAAACACTGTGGGAAGTGAGAGAGAGAGAGAACCAGCAGCGTAAGCGGAAGAGTAAGTCTACGCGGCCTTAAAATCTTGTTTTCCGGATTTTTTTTGGTTCCTAGGAATAATCATATGAGGCTAGTTCTATGATAGGGTTAAGGAGTCATCTATATAATCTTATCTTGATAAATCATTATAAATGTTTGATAATTTAATTTTAAAAAATCCTTGATGAGAAACTATTAATGAAAAAGTGTTAAAAACCCTATAAAACAAAAAGATACTTATAGTTACTAATTAAGAGTTTCAACAATTTTTTAGGGTAATATTTCATTAAATAGTCTCTAAGGGTAATATTTCATTAAATAGTCTCTAAAATTAACTTTATTAATAAAAACAAGATTAATTAAAAAGCAAGCAACAATTTAATTTTACTAAATGAACAATTCATAAAATAAGAACCAATGTTCTTAAGGAGTTATAACGCATCAAAGGTATTAGCAAGGTTAATTCCTGAAACATCTCATCAGAGTTATGGAGTGTTTAAATAATAATTAAGGTCACATATATTACTTTGTAACTAAGTTAAGCTATAATACTTAGAAAAGTTCTTGAATTATTTAAAAAAAATTAAATAAGTCTTTATTTTTCATATTTATATTTAATTAAATTTTTTATATTTTACTTTTGAATCAAATAAGTTTTTATAATTAATAATTGACTAACTGTTGTTAATTAAAATACAACTTGTCATTCTTTACTTCATAATATTAACTTGACATACTGATATAGCATAATAATATGGTTTTTTGATATTTTTCACACTCAACCTGACATACTGATATAATATAATAATATGATTATTTGATATTTTTCACACTCAACCATCAATGGCACATAAGTATAAAATGATAAGTAATGTTTTGATTAATAACAATTAATCAAAAGTTAATCATAAATACATATTTGATTCAAAATAAAAATATAAAGACTTGATTAATGTAATAGAAGAATATAAACTTTATTTTCTTGAATAGAATAAAAATTATTAATTTATTTAAATTTTTTAAAATAATTTAAAAAAATTTTCAAGCATTATAACTTGAATTAACTAAAAAGTATAAATTTACTTATAAAAATATGATGTTTATGATGCACAATAGAGACACATCTTAAGCACCAAAACCTTGAGAGGCAATTAAGAATTGCGATGAGAAACTTGAACAGCCACAAGTCTCCCTTACCTTAAGAATTGGCGACACTTAACCCTGTACATCAATTTTGGGAATTCCTAGCCTTGGGCATCAATGCCTCTTCGTCTTCCTCTTCCTATTTTTGTGTTTATGGATTTTTTTGGAAAGTGAGAAACTTTGCGTCTAACTAACATTAAGCTAAGCCACAAACCACCATTGATGTTATTTATTCTACTTGAACATCTTGTTCAGCTTAATTCTTTTTTCAGTTTAAAAAGCTACTGTGAAATTCTTTTAAAAAATAATAATTTTTGATAAGTTATTTGAAAAAATAAATTATATAAGTTTTTATTTTGATTAAAATAACAATAAAGAGTATTCATGTTATCTTAATCATCTAATAAATTAAAATAGAATAAGTTTATTTTAAATTTATATATGATTTCAGATGTTAAAATAAAAAAAATTTATAAAAAAACAAAACAATTTTTAAAATAATATTAGATTTTTTGGTTAAATAAAAACTTTTGAATTTAGAGCCTTCTTTTTTCTTAACTTTTGTAAAAATAAAACAATCTTGAATTTTGCTATTTTATTGCTGAGCATTTTTTTTTTTAATAATTTTTGTAGAGAGATCGATAAATGACAGAGAGAGATCATAAATATACGTTGGAGAAAGGTGATTTGAAGAGTGAAGGGGAAGGGAGGAAGATTGATTGAAAGAGAGGAACATGTTTTCAAAAGTTGGAGTGTTTTTAAAAAAAGAGAAAAGAATGCTCTTTGAAACTTTTTTTAAAATTCTTTTTTATAAAATTTTATTTTAAAAATTTTACAAAAATTTTGTTAAGCTTGATTTTTACATTTAATAGATAATTAAGTTAAAAAAACTTAACCAACCAGGCGCGAAGTGTGTATGAATCACTATTAATCCGGACTAGGCTGCTATAGCATCAGCCTTAGCCTCCTCGATCTCGATTGGTGCAGTGGTATCGCTGCTAGCAGCTTCATTCCTCAAATAGAATAGAGTAAGGCTATGGCTGTGGTTGCTGTAGTGGCAAGCTTGGCTCTGGCGGTGTTTGGTGTGGCAGGAGCTACGCTTGGGAGGACTCCTGTAGTGAAGTCCAGTTTAAGAGTGCTGATCGGAAGGTGGATGGCTATGGCTATTGCTTTTGGCCTAGCCAAGTTGATCGGTACTATTGGATTGTGATGTGCTTGGCTAATGCTGCTTCGTTGCGTTTCCTTCTCCTTCCTACTTCATAGTCACAAACATGTAAAATTTATCCTGTGCAATGACGGGTAGATGCCATGTTTTTTTCTTTCTTTTCTCTGAAATGCTAAATAATCACACGTCCTAGCTCTAAATCAAACGTGACAGAATTTGTTGTGTTAATTTCCTGCATCTTCTCCAATTTCCTGTCTTCTATTGTCATTCTTGCTATATTTATTGGGCCGGTTGCTCGCAAGAGTTCCGACCCCATTCTACTTGTTTTGTCAGCAATTAAGGTAAATTGCTTGATAGGGTTTTCTTTTTTTTTTTTTAATGGGTAGCCGAATAATTTAATAAGCTTGGTGCTACCGTGTGCGGCTCAGTAAAGGACAAATGGAATATTCTTGCTCCACAAACAAAAGGGGAACAAGGCTATGCAACAATTGGTTTTCATTTTTGTTAGTTTGCGATGGGAAGCCTTTTCTCATGTTAAAACGGCTCCACCTACTGGAATACATACTTCGCCAGAACAGCAATATTCCGTGGACAATCCTCAATCCAAAGCTCTGTTCTAATATAAAACACAAAACACACACCATTTCAGACCAGATTAAGGCCTTCTAAGTAGAAGTGGCTCATTGTTTAATTGTTGATTAATCACACTGTACACTTTAAACAGGTGAGAAGAAAAATCCTGGATGGTTCCAACTACATTGCTCAAAATGCAACACAAAAACAAAACGGCAATAAACGATGTCAAGCCTTGATTAGATCAACATCCAAAATTTTGATAATACATCAGTTTAGCTGGGAACTTGGGACCATATATAAGAAAGGACAAAGCGGTTTATCCTACAATATATTTGAATCCAAATTCAACTCCATCCCAAGTACCACTGCCTTAGTTTCTAGACTTACCACCTCTTCCACGCCCTCGTCCACCTCCTTTTCCACCACGTCCTTTCCAACCCCCACTGGCCAATGCCCTGTTTGCATCAGGTTTTATCTTCATCTCTTCTGGCAGAGGAAGTATATGATCAACACACTTCCTAAAGCTAAAATCATCAACAGTTTCATCCTCCCTAATGACAAAAAAACATTTACTTTTCCACATTGGATGATTCCGAATTTGGAAAGCTCTGATCCCACCACCAATCTTTTTGCCAGGTTCTAGATGACCTTTCTTGAGCAAGTCCAGTAACACCATATGCTCATACTGTAATACAAAGTCAACCATGAACATAACATTAAACAAACTTTTAAGTATTTCGGTACCCAAGGAACAAACTTAAAAATGCAAGATTGAGGTAACAAATTTTCATGTGCATTCAAGGCATTTTAATTCATTATATGATTCACTCTTTATATCACCTGGACAAAGAAATAATTGTTTAGTATTATGTTCCAGAAACACCAAGAATTTGTGTAAAAGAACTATGAAATTCAAATTGTTATGCATCCAGTATTGCAATCTTTGTTTACAACTAGCTAGTTTAAATACGAACTTTGAGATAAACTCTTAAAAGAGGCGGCCTATTAATGGAAGTAAGAGTTAAACCCCAAGAGGATTTCTTGAAAGCAAGGTGAATTACAAACCAATATAAAGGAAGATTTACATGCATTCATGGGCATATGATATATCACCTCTAGTTCCTCATGAAAAATGCAAAGGCCGATTTCAATTTGAAAGAGGCTAATAAAAGCAGTTCTGTTTAGTCTAGGAGCCACTGATACAACTATAAGTAGAGTTTACAATATACAGAGCTAACAATGCAACAGTTCACATTCCATCACTAGAGTTACAAATAGAGTACAAGGAAAAACATACTGACACATAAGAAATCGAATAACCAAGCAATTGACTGAGTTCTACTTCATAAACTCCCCCCTTAACAGCCATCCTTTATCTAAAAAGAGCTAATACTACCAGCTAGTAGTAATTGTTAAGCTTAGCTTCTACCGAGAATGAGTTCAATTCAACTCTTTCCCAACATCAAGCATCAGATAACAGAAAAGGTTACTCCTTTATGCAATCATCTTCTTTCTTCACCATGAAAGCTATAATTGTGATACTAATATAAATCAAAATTTTCTTTTTTTGAGCATCATATAAATTACAAAAGTCAAAGACAACTACAAGCATAACAAAATACAGATATTTTAATCACCACTAAGAACCCAACACGTATACTGTCACATTACCTTGTTAAGGTTGAGTTGAGTAGGCCAATAATGAAGCAAATTGTAAAAGTAATCAAACATCTCCATGGACGACCCAAACTCCTTTGGGCCCAGCCGGACCAGACACGACTCGGACAACCTTGCCTCTTTCTCCAGCCTTTCTTCCTCAACGGACTTCTCCACCTTCTGTTTCTTGGATAAGTCATCGTTTTCTTCGCTGTCTTCGTCTCTCCCGCGCTTCGAGTTTGTGTCACCGTTGTTGAACCTGTCAGCATTGTCTCCACCATCAGGGTTTTGCGCGGAGGAGGCAAGGGTTTCAAGATCCATGTCTTCAGCTGGTAGGTTGATCTCGTTTGGCTCTGGCGATGCCTCTTTCTCTGACATTGCGGAAGCTAATACCCTAGAAGTTTGGCAACAGTGGAGTTAATAGTAAAAATGATGCCTTTTGATGTTTTAGAAGTTTTAGTTGCCTATTTTCCACTATTCAAGAGCATAGTATTTTGTTTTCTATAT